TTGCATTTAGAGCGACGATCTGGAAGAGGGGGAAGAAACACTCAGTACCTTTTTGTGTCCCCTGTATTTTGTTCATTAGCAAGAAAAAGCATTTCTAGGACAGATAGGTTTTGTGGAATGGCTGTGCATTCCAGACATTACAGAAATCATTGTATATTTTGGACAAAAATAGCTGGTGTTTTGAAAAGAGGGGTTTTATTAAGTGCTGTAGTAATTTATAGCTATTTTTAGTCACTTGTGGGTACGTACAGATCACTCATTTCAGATTAAACTTTGAATAGTAATGTTTAGGAGTAACTCACAGTGGAAATTTGGTGATTGTCAATAAATCATGGTTGCCAAAAACTGTGTAAAACTTGACCCCCCTCCTCTATTCAGCCAAGGAAGGGTTATTAGTCAGTGAGGAGAGCGCTGTCATCAGGGGTGTAACTTACACGGCCGAGGATTGCTCGTGCCAGTAAAAGCTAGGGACTGGTTTGCTCTTCTTGCTGTGTTGTTTTTTCAGAGTTAATCTTTTGCCCTCCTCCGAGCCCGAGACACCTGTATCGTACCTGTCTAATTTGCTGTTTCCCGTCGGCTGAGCGTATCCCCTTTCACTTTCAGGAGTCTTTTCCATGTGCAGCAATAAATCAAAATTTATTAGTTTGGGCTGAATGGATTTTAAAAATCCTTAATATTCCATCATTAAGCATAAGCATAGACGGAAAAAGATTTCTGTAATCTTTTAAGTAGTCATCAATCTTACTGCAGTTGCGAGGATTTATTTTTTTTTTCCCTTTCAAAATGTGAAATTTTTCTTTTGTTACCATACATTCATTGAGCAGCATTGTAATACTGTATTAACTCTGTGTGAATAAAGAGCAATTGAGACTCCTGTTGAATGAATGAGTAAAAAGCACAAATTACTTTTTAATGAAACCCTCAATTCTTCTCCTCTCCACAGAAAGCCCATGGCCCCGTTCAGCTGAATGCTGCTACAGTAGGTCACTTCAGTTAAGCCCCTAATAAACTGTTGATAGTCGAGGGCAGGTTTTTCTCCAGTCTCAATAGCCTAGTGTTGGACAGTGCACTTCAAATCGTTAAGGTTAGTTTTAAAAAAAAAAGGGAGATTAAGGGTGGTGGTTGAAGGAGATGCCGGGGTGGGCTGAAATTTCGGACAAGCTGTGGGCAGGGGAGCGAGTCGGAAAATGGGGCTCTGCTTGAACATACCATGACTGGGTTTGAAAAATACCCCAGGAGAGAACAAAGTGAGACTTCTCCTCACTCAGAAGCTCCTTGCAAGGAACTCTAGGAAGGGGAGAGCTGCTGAGGGGGTTGTGAGATTCCCCACCACTGCCTGAAGGCTCACCTTGGTTTCAGGGATTGCTGAAGAACAGGGCATCTTCCAGGAGCAGAGTCTTTGCCAGAACATCTGGGTCTCTGAGGGTGTCTTCCCCAGAAAAACAGCATCTTTCCATGGTCAAAATGTGGTGTT